CCAAGTTAAAATAACACATAATGCAACATTTTTCTATACCAGGAGACGCAGTGTACATTTTCCTCTACAAAAAGAGGGGTCTTATTGTACCTATAATTCTGAAATCTCAATTTATCGCTTGAAGATAACAAGACATCTTGAACGCTTTTCCAGGATGTTACATTTTCTTCCTGACTTTTTTTTTAAGCACATTATAAAATGTTGCGCCTGTACAAAGGGTGGACAGAAAAGGTAAGTTTCCTGCCTGGGTCCCCCACCCTTGGTTCCCCAGCCCAGGAACAACCACTAAGACCAGTTTCGTCTGTATCTGCCTGGAGACAGTCTTTGTGTTACAAGCTCACCCGTTCTTCCATGTATCCTTTTTGTGCAACAAAGTTAGCCCACTATTCACCCTGTTCTGCTCGCTTTTTCCACTTTGCAGTACATGTGAGACATGGTCCCCAGGCTGATGTATAGCTGTCTCATTCTGTGTTTAACAGCTGCATTCTGTACAATTAGGGACTTGAATGCATTTAACCAGCGCCCTGTTGGTGGGCGCTCAGGTGATTGCCACAGATAAGGCTGCAGGGCTGTATCTGAGGTTGGAGTTCTAAAGGAGACTTGTTAAGTCAAAGAGCATTACCCCATCATTTTTAATGTCTTTGTAATATTCCAGAATATGGATGGCCATGATGTATTTAACAATTCCTTATGGTAGAGCATTTAAATTGTTGCCATTTTTCACAATGGATTACCCATGATCATCTTTGAGGAGGCTAAAGTCTGCAGGGGAGACAGAGAAAAGAACCAGCTGCTGCGATGGCGGCGTGTCCAGAAATGGCACAGCCCAGCTTGTGGAAGTCAGGGAGGAGCCGGGCCGGAAGCGGGAGGAGGCAGGAGGGAGGGGGCGGGGCTTTAGGCCAAGGCCCTGAGGTTCTGAAACACTTGGCAGGCTGCTGGAGCTGGGAGTCTTTACGTGTGAACCAGAGGTGGTCCTGGCCCTCAAGGGGCTCACAGGGGTGGTCTTGGATATGCTTTCATGCCCAGCATTCGGCATAGTGGTCACAGGTAGCACTCAGTGAGTGTTTATGGATGAATGAATAAGTGGGGGATACAGAGAGAGGAGCTGCAGAGCGGGCAGGGGCCATGGCTTTGATGGCCAGCTGGAAGGTTTGAACTTCGTCTGGTCAGGGATGGGGTCCCCGTGGAGGCCCTCTCATGAGAGCAGGCACAGTCAGATCTGCTGTCCTGGAAAGGTTCCTCTGGGAGACCAGGCAGAAGGGTGGCCCCACAGACTGCCAACCAGGTGTGGGAGACTGCAGCACTGTTCCCCCGTCTTCAGTGTCCCTCCCTCCAATGGTCCTCCCGGCAGGACTACACATCCCAACCCTGGTGCATGCAGGTATGGCCATGTGACTTGTTTTGGCCGATGAAATATGACTGGAAGAGATATGTGGCATTTTCCAGAAGCCCCTAAGGGACAGTTAGCTTGGGATTTGCCACGTTCTCAGTTCTCTCCCTTGGCAGTTGCAGAAGTATGGGCCAATATGGAGCTCCTTCAGCCAGCATCCCTGAGTGACTATGATGAGCAGAGGCCCCTCACCAGCCTGCAATAGACATGTAAACATGAGAGGAAATAAATGATGTTGCTTTAAGCCACTAAGATTGGGGGTGTTGTTTGTTACTGTAGCATAACAATGGCTGTCCTGACTGATACACAGGGGAACTGAACCAGATAATTCCCAAGCCCTTCCAGATGTGCGTAACAGGCCGTGATTCTGCCGAGCTGGGTTTTCTGTGGCCGGGCCTGAGTCTACTCTCGGTTTACCCAGAGACACTCCACCTCAAGTTCTTATAGAGACCTAGACCATGACCTTTCTGCCAGACCCACTTTGAGCCACATGAACATTTCTCAGAGGTCGAGAGAAACCTATGGCAGAAGTCTGCAGCAGCCGTGGCCCTCCTGAGATATGGCTCCTGGTGGCCTTTAAAGGGTCAGACATATCAACAGCCATGTCAGTATCAGCAGTAAGAGGAGGGAGTATCCTTGCTCTTTCTGAAGAGGTTCCCTCTTTCTGAAGGGGAAACGGAGGCTGTAGTGCTATTTTAGCCCAAATCCCTCATGCCATTGCACCCAAAAGTTGGTTTCCACTTCCTTTCCAATAGGGACACATCTCACAGAGCTGGAGGTTCAGAGGAAGGGCGTCCCTGGAGATGATAACATCAGGGCTCGGTGAGGTCTCCAAGGACTCTGTCCTCCATGTTGGCTTTATCCTCAGGAACATGCCCCCTTCATGATCACAAAATGGCTGCCAGTAGCCATCAGGCCACATGATTGCCTGCTTGTTCCTGCCAATGAGAGAAAATGTTCCACCCCATCCACGGACCATATTCATAACCAGGGCAGATGGCACTGACTGGCTCGGACCAGCCATTCCTAATCCTGTAAGACCCAGTGCCCCCCTTCCATAACAAATATTACTATCCTAATGAAATCTGTAGAAGAGAGAATCCACTTACACATATAATTACAAAAATACCAATACAGTGTCCTAATTAGAAAGGAAAAACAAGAGGAAATATATAATAAAATAATACATAGTTCAAGATACCTGCTCAGGCGCAAGTATTCTGGAGGACATGACAGAACAATCAGATGCCTTTACCTGCATGTAAAATCTCCACAAACACAGCAGCGATGGATGCAGAGAGGTGCACGTGGACTGTTTTGGAGACTAAAATGTCACCGGTGCGTGATTGTGATGAAATGCACTCCTGGGAAGATTCTAAACAACACAGAGCATACGCTTCCTCAGAGTACACAGCGGTGGTTGTGCTGTGTGTGGTGTATATTTGATGTGTACATTACAGCTGTGCAAAGAAACCTTTCTGTTACTATGTAACGTGGCTTAGGGTCTAGGCTCAGATTTTTCACCCTGTCTCAGGCCAGTGGGGCATCTGAAAGTCATGTGGGATTCAGGCCGAACCTTTGTTATGTGCGACTGTCGGGAATTCTAGCCCCGACCCCTGCTCACCAAATATCGGCAATGCCCCCATTGTTAGGACGACCAAAATGTCCCGCAGAAATATACACGCCCCTAGGGGTACTGCTGCCCCTCTGGAAAACCTCTGGTCGGGTCCAATCAGGAGTCCTTTGTTGGGCCTGGAGTGGGGCGGCTGCCCAAACAGAATTTGTGTTCCCTTAGCAAGAAGGAGGAGGGAGTGGACGTAGGGGAGGTGACTCAGTGTCCACGCCAGGCCTCAAGCTCAGCTGTTTTTCATAGGGCTGGTGGTCTACTCTGGGGGTCCCTTCCTGGGACTGAAAAATCTTAGATGTGCAGAGGGGCTCTCAAGAGAAAGTTTCCATAGCTGTGTGTGTGTGTTTCAGATTGGCACAGAAAATACTCAGGTCTCTCAGCCAGGAAGAAAGAGGCAGGGTAGGCTGGCCCAGTGCCCACTGAGAAAGAACAAGGCCCCTCTCCCCGAGCTTTTCCAGGACACTGACACTCAGATTTGTCCAGCTCCTCCAACCATGTGAAACCACTTTCCTGCTATTATCTCACTGGACCCTTGCCTCCCATTAGGTTACTCATTTTTAAAAGTTAATCTGTAGGAACTCTTTATATATTATATATACTATTCCTCTCTATGTTGTTGACATTTTCTTCCAATTGTCACTTTTCTTTTAACTTCATAGAAGGTATCTTTTGCCTCATGTAAGTTTTTAATTTTGATGGAATCAAATCTGGAAATACATTCCTTTATGAACCTCAGGACTGTGAGGCTGGATGAGCTGGTGGTTTTTATGTGTTGATGTGAAGGAGGGATGCATGGATGAGAAAACTGTGCGAGGGGAAGGTCAGTTTACAGGCCTGAGACACAGGTGGTTCCTTGAGGCTTCCTGGGCCAGGCAAATGTCTGGAGGCCCAGACCAAGAGCTCCTCTCCAGTCCTCTCCCCAGGAGGTACAGTCATTTGCAGGGCCTGGAATGCGGAGTTCCTCCTGAATCCTACCAATAATCCTGCTGGAGCCATCAATAGCTGACTGTTCTGCCTGAGGAAGGCAGAAGGACCCCCCTGGAGGTCATCTCCTGGCTTCTGGAGTGGGGAATGCAGGGCATCAATGCGGCCAAGTGGAGGCCGCTGAGGGCTGGGAGCCAGAGGAGGTGGGGTGCGTCTCCACACTACAGCTAACTGGCTGTGTGGCCTTGGGAGGATCTCTGCCCCTCTCTGGGCTCAGCTTCCTCTTCTGTCCAAGGAGGGGGTTGCCCATCATGTTCTCAAGGTTCCCTTCCACTGCAGATATCCCACCACCATTTCTCCACACACCCCTTCCTTGAAACAGCCCCACCGCTGGGAGCTGCCTCATCCTGCCCCTGCTCAGATTCCTCACCTGGGGCAGGAGGGGGCCTTAGTGTGAGGGTGTCTGGGAGTATCTGTAGCCTCAGAAACTTGCTCCTGGTCTGGGGTGTGACTTCTGAGCCTCCTGGTGCCTGGCTTCAGCCCTGGAGGTATAGAATGGAGGCAGGGCCCACAGGATGCTGCCCCCCCCCCCATGGGCATCCCTTTCCCAAACTTGTTGACATGCTCTCACCTTGAATATAATTTACTCTGTCAGCTGTGTGGCTACCGGCTGGTTGGCACAAGTCCGACTTGTAGACTGTAGATGTCTAATGTATTTGTTCATTTGGATTCTGCAGTTTTCTTTTAAAAGTCTGGAAGAAATACTTTGGTTTTTCATGCCTCTTACGTTTGTGTATCCCCAGAAAAGCTCATAAGCTGAACCCTGTGCCTGTGGCCAGGCTGGAGACTTCCAGCCCTGTGCTCACCCCGGCCCCCAGCCTCCCTGCCTGACCTGGGTCCCCTGCATCTCTCCCCAGGACCAATGCCCCCGTCTTCTGCAGCTCTCCCCAACTCATCCTACACAACACAGCCAAAGTGATCTGAATATCTCCCTTTTAAAAAAAATTATAATGACTTTACGATTTTCAATTTAATAATTTTGTTCATTTTTCAGAAAGAAGAATCACTCACACGGCTCAAAATTCAAAAGGAACAAAACGCACACCGTGTAAGTTTCCTTTCCACCCCGTGCCCAGCCTTGAGTCCCAACCCCAGAGGACACTGATGTCCATCACTGTTGGGTACCCTCTGGGCACACTCTATGAGTACTCATGAGTGTATGTGTACATGTTCTTTATTTTGGGGGCCTCCTTTCGGTTTTTTTGAACACAAATGACAGCAAAGTACGTTTCTAAGGGCACATCCACCCAGACCTTTGCGCGGCTCCCTCGAGTCCCGCAGGGAAAGTCTTTAGGCCCGGACCAAAGGCCATCCTTGACCAGCCCCTTCTGACCGCTCCCCCGCGCCCTTGCGCAGCTCCGGGCCTGTACACACCTCCGCCTCCGCTCGGGCCCTTTCCCCGCTCCTGACTCCTCCTGCGGGTCCTCAGGGCTCAGCTTCCCTGGCTCCGCAGCTGCGCTGGCGGGGTCCCTCCTGCCCCTGGGAGCCTACAGCGCCGCCCCCGGCCACTGCCACTGTCTGCTTCCCTGCGAGCCTCCCCCGCCAGGCCGTGCGGTGCTCGGGCACGAGAGGCTGTACCTTCCTCATCTGGAATCCCCAGGGCCGGGCACGGTACCTGGCACAGAGAGGGCGCTCCGAAACGTCGCCGGGTGGGATCGGAAGGGGCCCGTAGGCGGTGATCGCTTTGCCACAGCGGCACCTCGTGGTGGACTTCGGAAGTGCAGTGGGGAAGTGACTGGGCGAGGGGCCGGGGTTCCCCCGACTCCAGGCATCCACTGGGGTCTGTGTCGCAGGCGCTCTCCCACCCAACCACTCCAGACCTCACCTTGCCCAATGGCGCCCAACGTGGGCAGAGCCCGTTGGGCGGTGACCAGCTTTCCCATCACCGGGACAGCTGTCTGCTGGGGAGACCTACTCATACCATGATGGGCAGCAGGGCAGGTGGCCGTGCGTGTGTGTGTGTGTGTGTGTGTGTGTGTGATGTACTTGTGTGTTTCAGGGCTACCTAGCATACGCCCTGAGCAGATAATTAACACTACCCCTCTTCTATAAGACAAAATTATTGGCAGTAACAATTGTGAAATCCGTAACAATAAATAAATGACAGGCTACGAAAATTTTCTTTTATTGAATCTCCTGCGTAAACTCTTGCCATCTCAAAAATAAATAAAATTAAAAATACAACAGTCATTATAGTACAAAAAAGGAAAACATGGATGCATACTTTTAGATTATATTATTTTTTAAAATGGGGGGAATCTATACCTATATATTGGTCTGTCCCAGTAATGAACAAAATTACTTTAGAATTAAATAAGAATAAAAGACTAACAATTTAAAAAGAAGAAACTTCAATTTTAAACAAACTGGTCAAATTCAGTCAAATGTTTCCCACATAATTTAAAATTTGCACTTTCCCGACAAAACTATTGTGGCCTCTCACAGCTCACTCTCTGATTCACTGTTTTGTATTTTAAACAAAAATAGCACTACGCAATTCAAGTTCTGTTTCTACAACTTCGCTGTCACCGACTTAGGGCTTGGAGACACAAATGGCGCCTGAAGCTGCTTGGTTGGTTCCACCCCCACCCCCAACAGGTGCAGAGGCCAAACGTGGAGTTAGCAGTTGTCGGAATTATGTCCGTGTAGAACACAGGGCTAATTAAAGGTAAATGATAAAAATGTGCTGATTTGGAGTCTGCATATTTATTATTAAAAGCCAGCAGGTTAAGACACGAAAGGACACGTATTGTATGATTCCACTTAACGTGAGAAACATAGAATAGGCAAATTCACGGAACAGAAAGTAGAAAGAGGTGGTTGGGGGGCTGGGGGAGGGGGAAGTGGAAGCTGTTGCTAAATAGGAAAAGAGTCTGTTTGGGAAGATGAAAAAGTTCTGGAAATAGATAGTGGTGATGGTCACACAACATTGTGAATGTCCTTGATACCACTGAACTGTATACTTAAAAATGGTTATAGCAGAATAAAAATAGAAAAAAAAGGCTAAATGTTATGTATATATATATATTTATATATGTATATATTTTTTTATGTATATATGTATTTTTTCTTTTGGTGAGGAAGATCGTCCCTGAGCTAACATCTGTGCCAATCTTCCTCTATTTTGTATGTGGGTCGCCGCCACAGCATGGCTTGATGAGTGGTGTGTAGATCCATGCCCAGGATCTGAACCCGTGAACCTGCGAACCCTGGGCTGCTGACACAGAGCACGTGAACTTAACCACTACACCACTGGCCCAGCCCCTATGTTATGTATATTTTGCCATAATAAAAAAAAATCTGAAAAAAACCCACAAGTTAGAATTAACAAAATAATTTTGGGGGGAGAGGAGCATCTTATCGATGACATAATTAAAGAGTTGACAGTACAACGTGATGTTTAAAAAGCAGACTGAAGGTGGGGTTCATTATTATTTTGAAGTTCTCTACAGATAAGCACTCACCTGCCCCCAGGTTGGATCCCCTGGGACACCGTTGGTGTGTCTATCTTTGTGGGTCTGTGGTGTGTCTGTCGCTTTTCTGTGTCTGAGTCTGTGGGGTCTTTGTGTGTCTGTGTGTCTCTTTGTTGATGTCCCTTGTGTCTATCTGTGAGTCTGTCTGTCTGTCTGCGGTGCATTGTGTGAGGGTGAATGAGGTGCTCTGTGTCTCGTACCTGCCACAGTGCCTGTCATGAGAAGCCAACCACTGTTATCTGCTGGGTGCTTGTTTGTGGGTGTTTGTCTCTGTTCTCCAGGGATCTGCTAGTGGCAGGGTCTGAGTGTCTCTGTGTGCCTGTTCCTGTGTGTGTCTGTGATGTGCAGGGTGGGCACGTGGTGACCGTCTCCATGCCCGGCCCCTCTCTCTGGCCTGGGAGTGGCAGGCTGGGGGGCTGCTCCAGTGGGTGGCTCACAGGGGGCGCTGTTGTTGCCCTTAATTTTCTGGCTTAGGGTTCCCCCAGAGCTGGCCTGATGGGGGAGGGCACCCCACAGCCTGACTTTCCCAAAAGCTACACCAAAATGTCTCCGAAACTGTCTTCCTAGTGACTTCCAGTGCTTCCAAAAGTCCCAGCCAGCCCTGCACTCGTCACCCATGGACCCCAAACTGGGCTGTCAGGAGTGGACACCAACAACCCCAGCAGTGACCAAGCCCTCCTGAGGTCACCTGGGCCCACCCCTTATGTGGAGCAAGGGGCATGAGTCCTTAGAGGAGATGGCCTGGGATCCACACGGGACTGCAGTCCTGAACTGGCATCTGGAGACTCCATCTGTGTGCCTCGCTGGGACTCGGTTCCACTGCCTTCAAGGCAGGCACAGTACCTCCCATAGGAGGCTCTTCCTCCCTCCAATCACAGGCCCACCAGGCCTCAGTGCAAGTCCCTTTCAAGGCCGACAGGATGAGCCCTGTGAAAGGTCTTCAGAGCCGCTGATGAATAGGGATGGGTGGAGTGGGGCCGGAAGGGCTGGGAATCCTGGAGCTTCAGAGTCAGGAGAGAGCAGGTCTGACTCACAAAGACGGTGACATGACACACTTCCCTTTCCAGCTCGGAGGTTCCCAGGCAGAGGTGGGCGGGAGTGGGGGAAGCCTTGGTTCCCTGGACAAAGTTCAGCCTCCCTTGTGGCTGATGCCCTCTAGGGAGCCCCGGCTTTGGCCAGCAGGGAAGAAAGGCTCCTCTCTGGGTGGTGCTGGGCCTGGCACGAGGCTGCCTGGGAAACAGAGTCCAGTGTCTGGCTCCAACGGGCATTCAGAAGCTCAGGGCCTGGCAGGCTCTGCCAGCTGCCGGAAAAGGGGGGCATTGTCCCCTCCTCAGCCAAGTCAACAGAGTCTCCCCTCCACTGCTCTTGAGGGCCCAGCTGACTCCCTGCTCCCAGGGTGGGCTGGGACCCAGAGATGCCCACAGTCAGGCACTGAGGGAACAGGTGCAGGTGTGGACTCAGGGGATGGGCTGGGACTCCGGGGTTGGGGGGCGGTGCAAGGGAAGAGTTCTGGATTCAGAACCAGCCTCTGAGCTACAGGAAGTCCTGACTTGGGGCTGAGGGTGTGTGTGCACCAAGTAGCAGAGACACGAGGCCTCTCGATGCTTAGGGGGTCCCAGTTCCCATCTGCATGATCCAGCACAGCTCTCAAATTCCCCCTGTGGACTCCCAAGCCAGCAAGCAGCCCCTGGAATTCCTCATTAATCCAGAGCTCTGCTTAGGGCAGCCCCAGTCGGCACCGATGGGCTTGGGAATGCACTTCCTAACGGGGAAGACTCTGAAACATCGACAGGATGGCTTGTGCAGGTCCTGTGCCCATGGTGGAGACAGCTTTGCCAAGAGCTCTGCCTTGGGGCTCGGATGCAGGGCGTACAGGGACTCTGTACTATCTGCAGCTGAAGTCTCAAGTTATTCCAAAATAAAAAAGTGACTTTTGAAAAGGCAGGGTGGATCCTGCGGAAGGAGCCCTTGTCACCCCAACTCTTTCACCCCAACACACACCCTTCGTTACTGAAATTGCTGGAAGCCTTGATCTGAGCACTGCTGTTGGACGCAGTTAAGTTAGAATGAATGATCATTCCATACTCAAACAGGGGCTGAGAAATAGGGTTCTCGTTTCTAGAGCCTAGCCTACGTGTCAGGCCTGATCCCCATCATCTCAGGTGATGCACACCCCGTCCAATAAGCGCTATTTCTGTACAGGTGCCATTTAGAGATGAAGAAACCACGGCTCCGTGGGTGAGCAAGTCACCGAGATCGAGATGGCACAGCCAGAGCCGCAGAGCCAGACACGCGGACCCCGGGGGCCGGGCACTTCCTGAGAGCTTCCCATAGTCCCAGCCTGCCAGGGCGAGATCCCCATCCGACCACCCAGTTGGCTAAGGACAGGGGTCATGTCGACGCGGGATGCTTCAGGAGAGGAGCTGCTTCCAGGCCTCCCGGAGCTGTGCCTGATTTGCAGACCAGGGACCACTCAGGAGGTCCATCCCTCACCATGGGCCTGAGAGCCTTTCTCAAGCCCACTCTCATCAGTTACCAGTTCCCGCTGCTGTCCTGGAGAGTAAGAAAGCAACATTGTAGTTCCCCTACCCACCCCTGGGGACTGTCCAGGCCCCCTGGCCAGTGGGAGGGTGGTCCCTCAGCTTTCAACAACTCTCAGCACAGCTGCCCAGGCTGTGGGTGGCTGGGGCCCAGCTGGCCCTCCCCCCTAACCATGGCAGGACGATGGGGGCGTGTTAGAGGATGCCTGGGTGGGCGGCCAGTGCGAGCTGGCCTCCTGGGGCCTCCCCGGGTGCTGAGCAGCGTGGCCACTTCCGAAGGCCCCTTTGTCGGCCCCTTTATCTGGAAGAGCAGCTGCAATTGTGCAGGGACAAAGCCCGGCGGCCCTGACTCCCGCCCCTGCCTGTGGCCCCGCGGGGAGAGTTTCCCAGGCTTCTGCCCCTCCAGGCAGAGGACACCCAGACCTTCTACTCCGGGGCCCAGGACTGGTTCATCCAGCCCTAGGGCACTGTCCTCCAGCGTGTCTCCTCCACAAACACGGCAAGCGGTCCCCGCGTTGGATGCTGCGGGAGCCTCCAGGAAGAGGCTATGCCCTCTGCTCACCTGCTGCAGAGCATTTTGGGAGGGTTTGCTGACAGGCAGGCAACATAGGGGTGCTGGATGGAGGGTGGGCCACCCCAAGAGGCAGCTGGAAAGTGGGGTAAGGCTGGGGAAGTAGGCTGGAGGGCACGTCTTCGTGTCCTTGTACCCAACACAAGCACATCCTAAGGAGGGGTGGAGGAAGAAGGGAGGAGGAAGGAGGGAGATCCTTACTCCGCCCCCGCCCCAGCCCTAGCCCTTGAACGCTGGGATGCTAAGCCCTGTGCCCACACGAGGGCATCCAGTGCTCACGGCATCCTCCTCCCATAGACCATTAAGGCTGACAGAAGGAAGCGACTCGCTCACAGATCTCACAGCTCACAAGTGGGACTTGAAGCCGTGAGTCTCTGACCCCTAATGCTTTCCGCCATCTTCAGGAGAGAGGGCCAGGATGTCAACCAGGGGGCGGGCTGCATGGCCAAGGACACAGAGGCTGCTCCAGGCCTGGCTTCTTTGGCCTCCTGTCTACCAAGACCACCCATCCTGTGTGATCCCCTGGAAGGGGCCACCTTTGCTCGTGGGAGGTTCTGGTCCTTCTAGGAAAGGGCCAGAAAAGCTCTTTGCCCACTCCTCACTTCCAAAGAGCGACAGAGGGGACTGCCCCTGGGCTTGCACCAGCACCCTGGGAGCACTTGCAGAGGAAATAATGGCTCACCTGTTAGCCAGTGGTTCTTGCCCAACCTGTTTTCTTCTGGGTTGGAGGAGGCAGTGACCCAAGGTCTAGTGGTCCATTCCTGGAATCCAGAGGGTGTCCCCAGCCCCAGGGGCCAGGCTCTGGGCATCAGCCCTCTAGGGACAGCCAACCCTGCCTGCTCCATCGCAAGAAGCCTGGGGTACCCAGGCTTTAGGTACCCAGGAGCTAACTCTCTGCAGAGACCCAGGAGCCCAGCAGACACTTCCTCCTCATGCCTCCCCCCTCCTTCTTCTCCCTTCCCCTCCCTCGCCTCCCCTCCCTCCACCTTCCCTTCCACTCCGGCCATCTGTCTTTCCTTCCTCCTGCTTCTTATCCCTTTCATCCTCTCCTTTTCCTTTCCTTTCCCCTTCGTCACCCTCCTCTTCCTCATCTCCTCCTCCCCCTCTTTCCCTTCCTCCTTCTCTCTGTCTTCCTGTCTCTCCTCCCACCTCCAAACCTCTCCAGGGCCCCTGGCCTCGAAGCTCATGTAAATGATGCAGTGAACACAGCCCCCTCGCCACCCCAGAGTGCCCACAAATCATAAATCTCACACCAGAAGGAGGCCTTAGGCATCCTCTACTCCAAGCTCCTCCTTTTATAGATGGCCCAGAGAGGGCAGGCAATTTGCCCGAGGTCACAAAGCCCAGTGTACTAAAGTACTATGTGGCCATTTGTCCGTGGGAATAAAAATAATCCTCGCGCATTTACTGAGCACCTAGATGTTAGTTCTGTGCTGGGTACATTGTATCTACCCCACGATAGCAACCCTTTAGAAGAGGTGTCACTATTTCCTTTTATTTTGCGCCAGAGAACCAAAACACTGAGACATCCAATGACTTGTCCAAGATTACACAGCTAGGAAGTGGAAGAGGAGAGATTCAACCCAGATCTACTCAAACTCT